GGCCTCCCTGCCTGGGCCGCGGCTCGCGAGCCCTGTGCGGGGACCTTGTCCCCGGGCCCGGCGCTGCGGGTGTTCCTGCTGACCTCTGCAGGCAGGAAAATCCCACAGCCCTCAGCGCTTCCAAACGGCGCTGCTTCTGAGCCCGCTAAAGGCAGCTGCCGCGTCCCAAACTGCACTTCCAGCTCCGTCACCCAAGCGACACCCTGCCCTTCTCCCGCTGGTTTGAATTTGGGTTTATTGTTTTCGTAGCCTGCTCCGGGTGGAGAGCAGCACCCTTGGTGTTGGCGCTGCTCCTTGCCTGGGGTTTGACGTGCTCTCAGGGTCTCCCCGGCTCTGTCAGGCGCTGCCCACAGCCCTTCCCGCAGTTTGGGGTGCAGGGCTGGAATGCGGGGCTGTGCCGGGGGGCGGAGGGAGCCTGACACGGGGATGTGCCGCCCTCACCTCCGGCGGTCCTGGATGTGACCCTGCTGGTGCCCGGGGAGATGGGAGCTCACAACCCTCACACCCCGCTCACCCTGGCTACAGCAGGACGAGCCTGACGGGACGGGAATCCAGCAGAGGATCCCCCTGCCCACGGCTCATCGATGGGTCTGGGCTGCCGCTGCAGACACACGCTGCAAACTGCTCTGTCAGGGAACGAGGCGCGGGGTTCACACTACGCAAGGCTTGCTTTAACACGGGGAGTTAAGCAAAGTTTGGGAAATCGGATGTAGTTTTGGTTAACAACAATTTCAAGCCTGAAGCTGAGCTTGTTGAACCAAGCCCAGCAGGCACGAGGAGCAGCAGGCAATGAGAGCAGCCGGCTGTAGTGCAGTGAGTGGCTCATGGGCAGTGCAAGGTGTGCTCAGGATCACTCCGGTAGATTAAAGATGCCATGTGGCTCCATCACAGTCCCAGAGCGACAGGGCATCCTATGGATGTGCTGTTTTCTGCTCTGTACTGCACAGTATCACATCCCACAGTGACTCAGGGTCACGAATAGTTGGGAGGCAGTACATCCTTCTGAAGTGCTCGGTGGGATTTTTCCATTTGTTCTTACATTTCCTTCTGCTGGAGTCAGAAGTGCTTGGCCTTGTGCTTCTTGACTGCTGTTTGTAATTCAGTGAGTGCGTCTGGCTCTCCTGAAGGGAGGGTGAGGGATGACACATTGGAAAAAGCCCGTCCTTGAATCTCTTTGCAACCTGATGTTCATGCAGGTTTATATTTGGGCAGGCTCTGGTGCTGCCTGAGTAGGTCATTGTCAGCCTGTGTTAGTGAGGTCTGAGCTGGAGACCCACCAGAGCTGCACACCCAGCTCAGTTCCAAGTGCCTGTGGATGGCCAAAGATCTCATGGGCTGCGCTAAGAACCCACAAAACCCACAAGAGCACCTGCCGTGGTGTGTTGGAACACACTCTCATTATTACGTTGCTGATAATTTTACATTTTTGCCCATTTTCATTGGGCTGGATCTCACCAGTATCACAGCCAATTCAAGATTTCATATAATGCTTTCATCAAAAAGCATTATATGAAAAAATTGTTCAGCCTGTGGCAATTTTAGATCATTTTGGAAAATGATCTAGGTATAATAGGAAAGATACCTATTCCTACCTTCTAGGAAAAATACCTAGGATAGGCAAAGGGGAATTCTTGAGATGAGGTGTTCAGCCAGGGCCAGTCTGAGGGTACTATTGGCTTGAGGAAGAAAACCATAACTTGCCATTTCTCAGGCAGTCATGAGGAGTAAATTATGTAGTAAAATGTAAGTGTTCCTTGTCAGGACATTTCACTGCAGCAAATTATCTAGGAGCACTTCAGGAGTGAGTGCACAGGAGAAGAGATCTCAGCATGACCTGGATAAAGAGCAAAGCTGGTATTGAAAACTGTCAGCACGAGAAATTCCAGGCAATGGAGCAGTTTGAGCATAGCTAAAAGGTTTTTATCTTTGAAGAGCAGAAGTGATTGGTTCTTACTCTCTTCCACAGAAGAGGAACTGTCACAATGAACAACTACCATTGCTATCTGTGCATGGAAGGAGGTGTGTGATCAGTGTCAGGAGTTTTGGGGCACAGCCCATTGAAACCTCACTGCTGGCTGGGAAATGTTGAGGAAGTGTTTTCCAAAGTCCTGTGTGAGCGCCCTGGTCTCATATCTAACCAAAGGGCTAGAGAGAAGATTTGTCCCTTTGAAAAGTTTATGCCAGGAAATGAAGTACACAACCTGCCATGGTAGGGTAGCAAGGGAGCTGTTCTTATAAGCGTCAAAGAGGTGGGAAGATGTTTTGTACACCTGACCTGAAGAACAGGTTTAGTGAATGAGATCTCACCCCCAGTGAGGAGCTGACTGGCCACATCAGTGCCACAGGGTGAGGAGGGTTGGGGACACCTCCCAGTGTGGCAACCCCAGCAGATACCTGCTGTCAGAGAAAGGCATCCAAGCACCACCTCTGCCTTGTTCTGAGTGGGATGTTGGCATCTGTGCTGATAAGGATGTTGCTAATGAGACAGAGAAGTCCTTTTCATTTGCTTTGCTGCATTCAGTTGTGTCCTGGGACTCAGGAACCATGGTGTGTGTGACTTGCACATGTGAAGCATCGTCTCTTTTTCTTATCTGCTAAATCTGAGGTCTTTGGTTGTTGCTAAAGCAACTTTAAAAATGTTTAAAAATAAATAAATAGGCTCACTTGTGTGAGGATTACTTGTCAGCTCGAAAATGTGTTTTTGAATTAAATCCAAGGATGAATTTCCTTGGTTTTGTGTGAATTTTACCCTGCCAGGCAGGTGGGCATCCACAGACAGTTAGAAATCAGATTGGAATTTCAGTGCTCAAAGCCTGATCCACAATCTGTGTGCCCTTATACTTTCATCAGACTGAGATGATGTCTAGGGATAAGCACTGGATGTAGTTTTGGGTGCAGATGATGCAAAGAGCTCATTGGTGAGCGAGTTAACACAACATTAACAAAGGAATTGGTGTCAGACTTCACTGTTTTTTATGTTCATTCAATTTATTTGGCTGTTGACTGTTTGTATCCTTGAAGCTTTTTCAGTTCCTTGTGGAAAAGAGCAAAATATACAATTATCATTTAGTTTATTTCTTCAGAAGTGTCCACATTAAAACAGTGAGTTAATTCAGTAGAGGTGCATAACATACAGTTTTATATAAATGTATAAGCACCAACACAGAATACAGACTATATACCACAGAAGCAACATACACAGTGCAAAAAACTGTCTTCCATCAATACTCTGACAACCTGTATCTTCTGGATACACCAGTTTTATTCAGGAGTGTGCTTTAGGGGCATAGGGAAAAGAATAATGCAAAAGAAATAGAGACACAAAGATACCACAGAATCTTCCTGATGATACCTACACTGATTTTTTTAGGGTGCCACCTCCTCACTGCTGTTCCATGAAGCACAAGAGCACTGGTGAAAGTTGTACAGGCTCTGTGTCTGAGCCCAGCTGGGGGTTATTGGTTCAGAGGGGTGACAGGAGCTATGCCAGAAAATGCTGTGATGTTTAAGCCAATACTTCAACAGTAAAAAGATCATTTCCCATGTGCCATCTCTGAGGGCTGGAGCCTGGAGCTGTGGTCAGGGTCTGTGTGCCCTGCTGTGTGCCCCAGGGTGCTGCCTGTGCTGGCTGCCCCTGCTGGCATGTCCTGGCTCACAGCCTGTGGGGTCTTGGTGGGCAGCTGTGTCGGGGCTTTCTGCTGTTTCTCCACTGCCTGAAGGATTTCTTGTGACTCTGCTAGCCCAGCCTGAGTTAGGACAGTGTGACCTGGCCCTTCCTCACCCTTTGGACACCTGCTGGAAATGACCCAGACATTAGCCACAACAGACCGTTTTGTGTGCAGCCCCTCTCTGTGCTTGGTGGACATCACATCAAAGGGAGACACCTTCATTTATTTTTCCCCTCCAGGTAATATTTGAATACTTAAGAAGAGCAGCAAAATCCTTTCTGCTTCTTCATTTGCTGACCTTACTGGATGGCTCCCACCTGAGGGCTTGCATAAATACCTCTGTCCCAGCCAGGGTGAGCTGATAACATGAATTTCATTGGTGCATATGGAGCGACAGATTGCCTCTCCTGGAGTGCATTTCCATCTGTGGCAAAATTGCTAATTAATTTGCTGAATTTTTTGAGCTCTTTGATCAAGGTTACTTAATCTGTGCCATAACTCCTCACAAAACCTCAGCACAGTAATTCTGGCTTGTTACTCACACCGATGTTACCTACTGAGTATCATGCAACATTCTTTACAGCTGTATACAAGCATCCTTAGCAACACTTTTTTATCCTTGGAGAAATTTGTCTTTTTTTTTTTCTCCATGAAAAAAATACTGGATACTTCATTATGGTTTTAATCGTGACCTGTGAAAAAGCTTTTACCAGTTGGAAAGGCTGTTAATAGACCTTTTCAAACCTTGTTTGACCCATAGTGACAATATGCACTGGATTTCTGAAATAAAATCATGTTTAGAACAAGCGTATGAGCAAGGGCCTTAAAAACTACAGCAGAGGCAGTGCCATGAGATGGGGTGCTCAAGGACTGAAGCTGAGTTAAGGGCTTTTATAGTCCAGTCTGTCACAGAAATTCCATACCTGTATCACTGCTCTTGACACGTGATGTGGCTCAGATGTTCTACTCAAGATGCCACGTCAAGCAGCAGCCCTCTGTAATGAAACATCCCACTGGACCAGGAGACTAGAGAATGGATTAGTAACTTTTTTATAAATATGTATAATTTCCCAGTTTCCCTTAAGTTACATCTAGATCCACTGAAGATGTGGATAATAAATGTTGACTAACCAGGTATGACCTGCCCAGCTGACGAGGTCTGCTGAGGCTGTTCAAGAGCCAGTGTCCAAAGGCAGTCAGTGAGTTATGCTGTTCAGGCTTTGTATCAGGGTTGATGTGAGAAGCAAGAAGCTCAGATATTCCT